GTAATCTGTGGATGCCAGAGACACTGATGGTTAGCAATCATACAGTAATCATCAATTCACAATTAGGATAAAAGTCCAACCGTTGTGTAAATTGCAACATTTCAGGACCCAGACAGTAACGGCTGCTACGCAGTGTATATGGAAAGAGCTGCAGCTGAAGAGTGGAAGTGGCGAAAAGAGTGGCTGGACGCCGATGATGGATTAACAATTAAGGAGACAAAGTTAGTCAATGATGCATCCATTAAATTCACCCTTAAGTACACAACCATACAAGACGATACCATAATATTCATTCGATATATAGGTATCGCCACATTTCATACCCCCCCTCCAAAGTTAATTTTGGTCTTGGGTTTTATTTGTTTGCCAATCCACATTATTGATTGAGATAAATCCTATTCGGAAAGCTGACGCCAAGGTAAGTATTATATATAAAAATTCGGAATATTAGTATGCTGTACTACAAAAGTTCATGCTAAGTGAACGTACATCATTGCATTCCCTCAAAGTACTTCACGTTCACTTCTGCTCACTTTCTCAGTTTGATTATCCAATTATTAAATCCCAGTTTTGCATTCACTTCTGGGTATTTTGTTCAAACAATGGAAAATTACATTACTTGCTATTACCACTTAATCGTCTGACACAAAGTAACTGAAAGAAGAAAAACAGACACGTTTAAGTACACTCAACACATAATTGAAACATCTAAAATACAAAGTGAAAATTTAAGTGGAACTTATAGTGTTGTGAAATCAATTCTCAAATAATCGTAAATCTTTTATAACAAGCCCATAACGAAATAATATTCCAAATGAAATCTTTAAAATGCTGATGTACCAATACTGTTAATCTATTAGAATGACACAATCCAGAATGCCTTTAAATGAATTCACCAAAGTCCCAAAGTAGTAATTTAGTAGAAAATGTCAATGAACAATTATTAATTCCAATAACTGATTCAAATAAATATTTCTCATCAAATTATATCTGAACACAGCTAAAATCTCTGATCACAGATTCACAAAGACTGATATTACGACCGGAATGAAGAATTTGTTGACAAAACCCTCTTTTTTATACATCCCACTTTACCTATGTCAAAATATAATTTTTTGAAGATAACAATAACAAAATTCAATCATCTTAATGGAAAATTATATCATAATCACTCAAAAACTCAAACTAAAGTAAGCATTCTTTAAAAATGGCAGTAGTTAGGTAGACCCAAACCTCTGCCCTGAATTACGTACAAAGGTCAAGTTCATAATATAAATTAAATATACAAAGCACCACCGCATGGCGGCTTTCAATCTGTCTGCCCCTCAGAGAATCTTTAATAACAGGATTCAGCCAAAAATCATTTGGAGTTAGATAAGGGCTATATGGAGGACGTGGAAAAGTTTGTATATTGTGCTCTTTCAGGAATACTGTCATGGAAATAGATTTGTACTCCGGGGCGTTGTACAAGTGCGAAAACGGGTGGGTGGGAGTTAAGTAGTGTTTCACTTTTGGTAACACTTTGGATCCGTAAAAAATTCTGCTTGTGTGTGTGTGTGTTTATGTGTGTGTGTATGTGTGTGTGTGTTCTTTTTCAACTAGATTGGTAATTTTTTCTTGATTCGGATTCCATACATTAGATGATGGTCTAATGATGGTCTAACGCTACTGCAGTGAAGGAACTGCGAGTTCTTTTTCTTTGACATCCACCCAGGCCAGTCCAAGCTGGCTGCATCGGCTTGTGCTTAGATAAACACATTAGATTCACTTTTCCTTGGCATGATATAGCCAATAATGTGTTGAATTGCCTTTAAACAAACCAACAAAAAAATCTTAAGAAGAAAACAGAATCAGAGATTTAAATATTCTATGGCATAGAACAAGTTGAATATATGGTAATCGTACAGACTTCTATTGAATGTACAGAGCAACAATAAAAACATTGTAAAGGACCAAATTTTAGGTCGATCTTTATTTTATTATTGATAGTTGTGGTAGAAGACAATTAGTTGAATACATGTACCAATTAACAAGATTTATGGGAAATGGCCACATTTTACACGCCATAACGTACATATTGGTTCATGCAAAGTCAAGAGTTATTGATTTATAATTACGGGCTTAGTTTGTTTAAACCTACCGGAAGGAGTTCAAATTATGGTTTTGTATGGAAACTAATAATCGGACATTGACCAGGGACCAGTTGGTAGCCATTTGTTGATAGACATAATGCAGTGATTTGATGCTCTGGAAAAGCGGGAGCTTTGGTAAGTCTGATTGGTTACGCTGTGAAAAGGGCGTAGTTTCACACGAGAAACCTAAAGTCTAAATGTACAGGGTACTCATTTTTCATTTACTTTTTTTTTTTATCCAGCGCGTGTTAATATCACAGTTTCTAATCAAAGGTCACATGTTCAGAGATGAAACGGTGGGCATATCTGTACCGATTTTGTCTCGTATGTAATGAAACGTTATCGGGTATGATTAATTGAAAAGTATACTGACTGCATTAATTTCTTTTTCACAAAATATATGTATATTAACATGTCTACGGTGAATGTGTTCCTTTTGTCGTTGTTACCGATACAGTCTATTTGTAACTTTTCTCAGTCTTTGGTGTAATTCAATTAAGTATATTATAACCGTGGCTGTATATTGAAAAAAATCCATTAAATAAATGATGATGAGTGGCAATGATGATTAAAGCATTTCAGGTGCCAACATTCATGCAATGAAAGCATTTCACTTTTACTATACCCAGACAAAGCCAGACAGACTGCCTTGGTTTGACTCTTAATTAAGGCAATTTAATCTAAATACCTTGGAGTGAAATAACACGTCATGTTTTGATGGTCCTGAAACGCCATGTCAAATAACATTCTGTACTTAAAACATGAGAACACTGTTGCATATTTAATTTAGTCTAATCTAATCTATGACAGGCAATAACCTGTCATGTTTTGATGATTGTTAACAACCAGTAAAACCTAGCTCTGTAAGTAATCCCAGGTCACAGCGCAAATACCATACTGTACTTAACACTTGGGAAAAACTATTGCATATTAAGTCTACATTACCCTCTTGATTAATTTTCTTATGTACTCAGCACGAGATTTTAACCTCTGGACTAATTACCCATGCAGTTACTTTGAATTTTTAACCTCTGAATAACTCCTGCGTATTTAGTCTAAACTTTAAAACTTTGGCTTAAGTCTGTTCAATTTTTCATGAAGTCACCACATTATCTCGGTTTTTTTTTTCAATGAGACATCTACACATTGATTTGGTTCCTTTGGTTGCTTTTGGTTTTGTAGGGAGTAGTTGGGGAAATGCGCCATCTTGCATATAAACTCTGATCTTCATAAGGCCATGTAAAACATAATATCTTAACCGCTACGGTCGCCTAGTGGTTAGAGCGTCCGACTCGGATGCGGGAGGTCGAGTCGTACCAAAGACTTATTAAAATGAAATTAACAGCTGACTCGCTTGACACTCAGCCTTAAGAGGTTAGTGTTAGGACTGGTCGGCCTGGTGTCAGGATAATGTGACTGGGTGGGACATCATGCTACATGTCTGCGGCATGATGCCCTGATGTTAGACATCACTATAAACTGCCACATTGCAGACATCGTAACGATATGACTGAAAAATCGTTAAAGCTACGTTAAAAATCATAATCGCATCACATCACACAATGTCGTAACTGATTATAAAGTAGAATTGTGTCGTGCATTTTGTTCCATAAACTGCACCATACTCTTTTGAGTGAGCAAAAACGATATTTACTGCAATTACGAACCCTCTCACCTTTTCATCACTCCTTTGATAAAATTGCCACAGCTTGCCTCATAAACAATTTTCGGTTTTGGCGAAAAGTAAGTATTTAACTGAGACATTTATTGATGTCTCTGATGGTGGTAGTTGTAGGGTTGGGGGAAGTGCACATTATTCTTGTATTAGCGTTGTAAATCTGTCATTCATTTCAGTAAAACCAATACGGATTGTCATATTTTGTTCAATTAACTCATACTTAGATTGACTTGTAATGCGCTTTAATTATATTCGTTCAACCTTAGAATTTCCACTCATAACTATAAGGGTTCATGACATAAACATGTACTTACTTAAGTGCCAATATTCCCAAGAAAACCAATATACAAACTAACCCGAATCGACGTGTAACGTTCACAAGAAGACCAAAATAACATCCATCATCTTTTATCGATACTTATTGATTAATGTCGCAATTATTATGACTTATTGTCTATAATTCTAGGTTTATTTGGGCTAATTCGCAATACCGTAAGATCTTAGGCATTTTCACTTTGTATTCTAAGTAAATAAATTATTTACTGAATTTTATAAAGCTTATTGCTTCTCACTCTTTTCTATTACTATATTAAGATCACGGAGTCACACACACACACACACATATGTATGTATGTATGTATGTATGTATGTATGTATGTATGTATGTATGTATGTATGTATGTATGTATGTATGTATGTATGTATGTATGTATGTATGTATGTATGTATGTATGTACGTACGTACGTACGTATGTACGTATATATATATATATATATATATATATATATATATATATAACAACCAGACGTATTAACAAATGGACTTAGGTGACACTATATACCTTTTACTATTCATGATATGGCAGAACAAATGGTAATTTTACCGATATTGCTAGCAGACTAATAGTATTCTTAACTCCAACAGCATCAGAATCAAAGTACCGGTAATATTTTAATCGCATGCTTATGACAAAATATAAATCGAAGTAAATACAAGTTGTTTTTCGTGGTTTGAACATATTCATGTTCTCATTATATATTTTTTAATTCCACTTTATTAAAATCAACATTAACCCTCACAGTATTCCTAAAACTGAACACTATCAAAAATGATTTGTGGCTGAATTTGTCTATAATACCTATTGGTGTAGCTACTAGATAGCAAGAGTATCAAGGCACAAGGGGCAACCGCTCCGATGGCCTAGTGGTTAGAGCGTCTGCCTTGGATGCGGGACGTCGTGGGTTCGATCCCAGGTCGAGTCATACCGAAGACTTAAAAAATGGTACTAACAACTGCTTCGCTTAATGCTCAACATTAAGAGGTTAGTGTTAGGACTGATCGTTCTGGTGTCAGGATAATGGGATTGGGTGGGACTTCATGCTACATGTCTGCGGCATGATGCCCCGGTGCTAAACATCACTATAAACTGCCACATTGCAGACATCGTAGCGATATAACTGAAAAATTGTTAAAAGCTACGTTAAAAATTATAAACACCAAAAGCACAGGGGATTCACGAGCCCATCCAAACAAATTTTCTTTTCTATACAACTGCAAGAAACTTGGAACTGGCATTATACCACCCAACAAATACTATCATTGATAATACATATTTAAGAGCACAAAATAAGGAGTTGGCATTTATATTTTGATATTATTAAAAATTGTGGCAAGAACCCATCAGTAAGCTTTGCATATGAGCCTAAATATCTGAAATAAGCCACTGCTAACAACCCTTCCAACGTCACATCATTTATAGCGTAGCTATACAAATATTGTCATTGGTTGTGACATACGAGTACTCAAGACCTTGTACATTTCACTGCATCTGATTAAAATTTTAAGGTAAGCGTAACATTCTGTATATCTTTGTGTATATTTACCTATATCGCTTCTTTCTTTTTCGTAGTAATCGACAACCTGTCACAAAGGGAAGTAACTCTTACTTGGAATGTGTGCGAAGGTTGTTGCTATGCACCATGTAGCAGTACAAAAACAGCGTTGCATTGTTACTGGATATGTTTTAATGTAAGTAAGGTGTACTCTCGACCGGAAGGTGTGTGCGTTTATTGTACACTAAACGCCTATTAGTTTCCATTACATGTATTCTTAACTGAATATTTGTGGATTGTTTTTATCCGACTGGGGCACTTTTTTGACCGATAGTTGAACACTTTAAGTTTGCCGGAAAAGCGCTTGATCAGGTTAAGTAACAGGTAACTTTTCAATTCATTTTGACAAACAATCATAGTGCTACAGTTCATTCTTCTCGTAAAGTTATACAGACATATTAAGAAGTCTGAATGAGAACATATTTTAATTCTTATTCTAAATTTAAGACTAAAAAGTTAACCAAAGTCTATTAAAACATGAATGTTGAATGCTTTGCATCTTAAATGCCACCCCAACCCCTAAAAAAATACAGACGAAAATTATTGATCACTACGGACTCTTACATATCTGTTAGCCAAGTACTAAATATGGCCAAGATAAGAGAATATTAGGTCTGTCAGAGCAAATAGCAGGGTCGTATGCATTTGATTTTCAACACGCACTGTTTTCTTTATAACGCGCGATATTCAATCGGTTTATTTTCCTTCCGGATCACACCTTTAGATTAATCTCGTCCAAAAGTTTCCACCTGATTTAGTATTTTTCTGGGCGTATAAATAATGACCTTTTAAAGGAATATGGACCCAAATAAGGTGAATAATCGCCATTTAAAGGTATGTGGAATCAAATTCTAACCAATGACACCCATTGCTGAACTGGTTTTGAATGCCTACATGACAAAGTTGGTTCACAGCTACTATCGCCAACTCATCAACAAGGTTCCGTAAAAATTGTTATTGTTGTAGGGTTTAACGCAATTTTTAGCACTAGATACGCTATACAAGGCGGCCATTATAAATGGTGGAGGAAGAACCCTGGAAAGAACCACCGACCCGCGAAAAAGCTGCTGGCAAGCTTTCTCATATACCCACATTGGCCGAACCCAGGACTCGAACCCACACAGAGGTGATATGCCAATGATCCGTAACAGTGAACGCATCAAACCACTCGACCAAATTCGGGCTTCTCCTTATTAACAGAACATAAAGTGACGTCACTGATGAGATAAAGGGACGTCCACAACTTTTAAACTTTCAGTGACCCACCTAATAAAATTATGTCAAAAATATTTTACCCCCCCCTTTCCAAACTAACAATATTTTATACTGCTGGCTTTTATGCTAAAAATAGAATTATGGAAATTAAAAGGTCTACAAATAAATTTTAATACATTTTTTTTAAAATTTGTTTAACAGATTTCAAATTGACTATAACACTTTGAATTCATGAGAAAATCGAGACTTTATATTCCTTTTTTAATCATTAAATTTATTGTACAAAATAACATTGTTGACGTCAATTTCTCTTAAACTCTCCCTCTCCCATGTCAGCAATTGTCAAACTTCTTCAAACCCCCTCCTTCTATTTTGTTGACATAATTAATGGACGACCTCCTAACAACTTTTCATATTTTGACATTATGCAGCCATGGATCATTTGTCCAATTTTATCTTTTTCATTCTTTCTTCTGTCTTGTCATCACTGTTTCTTTTTTCCATCTTTTACCTTCCACTCTTTTTTTCTGTTCTACCTTCCATTCTTTAACTGTTTTATCAACATATTACCCATTTTGTCCGTCCTTCCAACATGCGTAGTAACACACATGCACACGAGTTTAGTATATATTTAAATATATTTAATGAAAGAAATGAAAACTAAAACCAAGATGCATGATTCGTCAAAACCAGAAAGATGTAAAACAAATGTAAACTCTTTTGATATACGCTTCCCAGCTTGAAACGAATTAAGACGGTTGAGAGAAAAATAAACTCAGTCATCACTAAACGACAGACATTCATTTAATCGAATGTAAATGAGAATAATTTTCATTGCGTTAATAACCAATATTTGTGTGATTTTGTAATGACATTAAATCACAATTGACGATCATCATCTAAAGTATTCGATATTTTGATTCTTTAAACGGATAGCTAGACCTAGCGAGTAGACTTATAAAAAAAACATAACTTTTATATAACAAACTGATTATTGGAAATAGTTCCATAGAACAAGACCTATTTGCATTCATGAACAGGGTGAAATTCATCTGTGATTTAGGCATTGTTTCAAAAATTTCACATAAATTCAACAGGAAATAATCGAAAGTACATGATTGATGATGGAAATGTAGAGTGCTTTAACGTTACACATTGAGAGGCATCAATCAAAAAAGAATGCGCATGCCGGAATCGGTTAAAAAAGAAGGAAAAAGATTTCATCAGCGTAGAAAAAAGATAACAGTTTAGGTTAAATATATTTTTTAATATTCATTGAATATGTATTAAATACTTCTGCAAAAAAGTATTGTTAGATAAACAAAACAAATTTTGATACATACAGTCATTGGTTGAAATGAATCATGATCAAAGAAGAGGTTTTAGAAAACTCTGTAAATGACTGATATATTTGCATACGTTTGTGGTTTAATTGAACGATCTTACAAAGCCTATTAGAATATCTAAGATATAAAATGAAATAATAAATTGATTGTATTTCAGTATGTTGGTCGTAATTAGAACAAAGAAGGAAATAATCATTACGCTGGAATAATAATGTTTTCATGAATGGACATGACAACAGAAAATACTTCTGAAAAAAATACTTGATATCATCACGCCACAAAAGATATCAAAATACGAAAAGATGTATAACTATGTAGTCAAAGCAGAAGATAGAATGTCAGAGGAGGGTTCAGCTGTAAAATTCAAAAGTATCAACACAAGTTGCATGATCTGTACGTTATATACAGTGGTTATGAAAGCATTTTACACATGGAATCCTACATTGTCACAAAATACTGCAATATGCGAAGGCTTTTAAATTTATTTCAAAAGCAACCAATAGGAGATATAAACCAATAGTTTGCAGGGGAATATATATATATATATATATATATATATATATATATATATATATATATATATATATATATATATATATATATATATATATATATATATATATATATATATATATATATATGAAAGCTTTTTCTTACGAAACTTTAAATAAAGTTGTAAAACTAGTATAAAAAGGATTAATGACAAAAGAGACATGCATATTTGCAGTAGAAAATGAGAAAAGATTGTAACTTAGAAAATATGCTCTACATCTTTGAGAGGGAATTGGCTGAAAGCAAAGGTCGAGCCCACAATCACGACGTCCCGAAGGCGTAATTAAGCAGGACAGTGAAGAAAATGCCAAATAGCGCGGAGGCAAGGACACATCCTTGTTTTACTCCGTTGTGGATGTTGAATGGTTTGGACGATGAGCCATCATACTGCACTGTGCCTTTCATGTCGTCATGGAAGAACTGGACCATGCTTAACAGCTTTGGAGGGCATCAAATCTTCGTCAGGATTTTGAAGAGTCTGTCTCTGCTGACCAGATCGAATGCTTTGGTGAGGTCTATAAAAGCCAGGAAGAGGGGTCTGTGTTGTTCTCTGCACTTCTCCTGCAGTTGCTTGACAGAGAAGATCATGTCGATTGTGGACCTCTCTGCGCTGAACCCGCACTGAAACTCTGTATACACTCTGTCAGCAAGCGTCTGCAGTCTGTTCAGGATGACTCTAGCGAAGACTTTACCCACGATGCTGGGAAGTGATATTCCCCTAAAGATGTTGCAGTCACTTCTGTCGCCCTTGTTCTTATACAGATTTATGATGTTGGCGTCTATCATGTCCTGAGGCACTGGACCTTCATCCCAGCGCTGGCAGAGAAGTTCATAAAGGTGTGTGAACAGCACACTTCCGCCGCACTTGATGACTTCTGCTGGGATGCCATCCTTCCCTGAGGCTTTACTTGTGGTCAGTTTCTCTAAGGCCAACTTTAGTTCTGCCGCAGTAGGTTTTTCATCCAGTTTGGTCATACAAGGGAGGTTTCCAATGGCGTTGAGGGTATCGTTGGTCACGTTTTTCTCTCTGGAGTACAGTTCAGAGTAGTACTTCACACAGCGCTCCATCTGCTTGCCCTTGTTGTGAATGATATCGCCTGCAGAAGACTTCAGTGGAGCTATCGCTTTCTTCGTTGGACCCAATGCTTTTTTATGCCATTGTACATGCCTCTGATGTTTCCGTTGTCTATTGCTGACTGGATGCTCTGACAGAGCTGAAGCCAGTATTAATTGGTGCACTGCCGTGCTAACCTCTGC